GAAGCCGAGAGGCCGACCCCGCGCCGCGTTCCCAGCCCAGAATTGGGGGCGGGAGGAGACTGAGGGAGGGCGGCTCCGATCTGGGGCGGGGAGAGAGGCTGCGGCCGGCCGAGGGAGGGCCTGGGACTCCGGGTGAAGCTCTGGAGAGCTGGAGAGTGGAAAGGGGGGGCCCCGGGGGCACCCCCCCGGAATGAGGGGGGTGATTGAGTTGGGGATGGGCCTGGATGACAGCCACGGGTGGGGAGACCCCCAGGACTCACCTGAGAACCCCTCCCACGTCCTCCCAAGTCCCCCTCCCCCTGTCCCCCACCCAAGGAGAATTCCTGAGGTGACTTGGAAACTCACCTGACACCTGGCGTCTGGGTTCTTAATGAGACTGAGATGAGGCCCCTAAAAATGTAGGCAAAGCAAGATGGACAAAAAACAAAAGTTTCCTGGGAAGACAGTCCTCCAGTTTTTATTTTTAATCTGTCTCAAAATTAAGACTCTTTTCTTGCCAGTCCTGGAACTTGAACTCAGAGCCTGGGCACAGGCTGGGCACTCAGAGCCTGCCTAAAGTTCGTTTGTTCAAGGCTAGCACTCTACACTTGAGCCACAGTGCCACTTCTGGCTCTTTCTGTGAATGTGGTATTGAGGAATCAAACCCAGGGCTTCATGCCTGTTAGGCAAGCACCCTACCACTAAGCTGCCTTCCCAGCCCAAAATTAAGACTTTTAAGAATTAGAAGAATCTAAACTTTCAAATATCTGAGTCTCCAGAACCAACCCGGACACCTGTGGCTCACAACTGGCATCCTAGCTACTCAGGAGGCTGAGAGCTGAGGATACTAGTTTGAAGCCAGCCTGGGCAGGAAAGTCAGGGAGACTCTAACCTCCAATAAACTACTACTAAAACAAAGCGGGGAGGAGGTAGAAGTGGAGCTCTGGTTCAAGTGGTAAAACATTAGCCTTGAGGAAAAGAAGCTCAGGGTCGGTGCCCAGGACCTTAGTTCAAGCCCTAGGCCCAGCACAAAAGAAACAAAGGGGAGGGGCAGGAGAATCTGACCAGCAAAGCAACCATGACTTGTACCTGTAATCCTAGCTATTCAGGAGGCTGAGATCTGAGGTTTGTGGTACAAAGCCAGCCTGCGCAGGAAAGTTTATGGGGCTCTCATAGGTAATTAACCAGCAAAAAACTGGAAATGGAACTGTGGCTGAAGTGGTAGAGCGCCAACTTGAAGGGAGAAAAAAACAAGTCAGAGCATGAAGTCCTGAGTTCAGCCCCAGTACTAGCAGTGCGTACGTGCACGCGCGTGTGCACACACACACACTAATAATAAGTTCAAATAACCATTTGAACTAGTAGGCATTGGGTGCTTACCGTGTGTCAGGCTTCATGCTTTCATACACATATTTCATAATTTAGTCACCAGCAAAGCCTGTGTGAGTTTGTTTTCACAGTTACCATTTTATAGGTGAATAGACAGGTACATAGAAGTTAAGTAGCTTAACCAGCCTCACAAAGCTAGGTTGGTTGGGGAGCTGGAATCCAGTCCTGGTTCTATCTGGGTCTCTATCAGGGGGCCACACTGTCCCTCCTCAGTCTGAGAATTCACAGCCCCCTTTGCTTTTCAGGAAAGGAGGTAGGTGCCTGAGAAACAGTACAGTCAGAGATAAATCACAGGGTTTGTGGGAAGGGTCTTGGAAGAGATAGTTGAGAAAAGAGTGTTGGGAGAGGACAGAGATGACTGAAAGATTTTCCGCTTTTCCTCACCCATGTTTAGCATCTTGCGTTTTGTTTGTTTGTTTGTTTTTGCCTTTTGTTTTGTTTTCTGCCAGTCCTAGGGCTTGAACTCAGGGCCTGGGCACTGTCCCTGAGCCTCTTTGTGCTCTAAGGCTAGCACTCTCCACTTGAGCCACAGCACCACTTCTAGCCTTTTCTGAGAGTTTATTGGAGATAAGAGTCTTATATGGGAAAGTGGCGGGAAAATGAGGGAGGAGGTAACAATGTTCCACAAGAAATATACTCATTACCTTACATACGTAACTATAACCCTCTGTTCATCACCTACCTTGAGGCAAACAAACAAACAAACAAAAAAAGAGTCTCACAGACTTTTCTGCCTGGGCTGGCTTCAAACCAGCCTTCTGAGTAGCTAGGATTACAGGTGAGAGCCGCTGGTGCCTGGTCTGTCTGGTATCCTACTTAAAATCTCTGATGGGAAGCTCTCTGCCCAGTCTTTGGATTTCGCAGCAGTGGGTGAGGTGAAGGCTTTGTGTTGGAGGTGGGGGTGGAGGGTAGGGAGATAGGACAGTCACAGGAAATAGACCTGGCTCCTGCTCCTCCCAAGTCAGGGATAGATGAGCCAGGTATGGTGGCTCATGACTGTAATCCTAGCTACAGAGGAGGCAAAAATAGGAGGATTATAGTTTAAGGCTGGGGGGCTGGGAAGGTAGCTCAGTGGTAGAGCGCTTGCTTTGCATGCCAGAGGCCCTGGGTTCCATTCCTCAGCACCACATAAGCAAAAAGAAAAAAGCTGGAAGTGGCGCTGTGGCTCAAATGGTAGAGCGCTAGCTTTGAGCTGAAGAGCTGAGGGACAGCACCCAGGCCCAGAGTTCAGGCCCCACGACCGGCAAAAAAATAGAAAAAAAGGCTGGCTGGGCAAAAAGTGGGAGGTTCTATCAGTCTCACAGACTTTCCTGCCTTGGCTGGCTTTGAAGGAGGGTCCTCAGAT